TTTTCATATATTTTCTATAGAATTTGCTCGACTCAAATTTTTTAATTTTTTTTCATTCTATTTTTCTTTTCTTCTCATCAATAAAGTCAAACGAAAAAACTTGGAAAATTTGAGCCGAGGAAATTCTATAGAAAATATCTTAATAGAATAAGTTATACAGAAAAATTGAATTCTATTGACTTTTTCTACTAAATATTTTCTATTGAACATTTTAATAGAATCGGTCAAAAACTAGTAGAACAGTTCAATAGAAATTCAATAGAATTTTCTAACGAATTCGATAGGATTTTCTACTAAATTTTTTCGTTCGTGTGGGGATTTTTACTCGCGCGGCGTTGGCGTCCGAGCCGAAGGCGAGGACTGGCCAACCACGCGAGTAGAAAAGCTCCATCGCAACAGCCCGAGACAAGACTCTTTTCTAGTGATTTTCAAGTTTCCGAGTTTGGGAAGTACGCAATACCAATTCCCCTGGCTATGCAATGGTGTATTTTTCACACTACCACGTCGACTCTTCACAAATGTCATTTTAAAAAAAAAAAAATATCAACTGCAATGATTGCAGTGTTTTGTCGCGTGTCTCCGCCCCATAACATAAACACTAAATTAGTGGCACGAAATTCCGAGAAAAGTGCGTTGCCAACTGAAACACTCCCTTCACATGGGTTATCACCAGTCATTTATCAAATCGACCCCTTAATTAATTGAATCACTCAGAGCCACGTGTTACCAAGAACTCCGATAAGAATTTCATAGCGATCTTCCTCGTGTTTTATGGGAACACTCGAGAATATACTGAAACGAATCGGCAATTTCAGATGAATCGAGCGTTTTATCGTTATGTATTTATCTCAGACGATATATCTCTTATCATTTCGATATTGATAGTGCTCCGAGCCTTTTGCAGCCAATGTGTAATAAAATAAATATCAACGTAAATACACGGGGGAGTGACAGAAATGCGCGAATGAAGGACAAGGTTTGGAGGCTATTTTTCATAATCTATTATATATGACATGCATTTTTCAAATGGAGAAATTCATGGAATTAATGGTTTGAAATATAACAAGCTCCGTACATGCGAAATTTTCTAGTCATTTCGTATTGCATAGAAATTATCGAATAATCCCCTAGGGGGTAATGACGTCACACCTCCTTATGCTTCGGAATTGACTCAGGATGAGGCGCCACTTTCGCTCTAGTGACGAGAATGAAGTGAGGTTAATCATCGGTGGTGATCAATCATTCTTTCGTTCGTTTATTTATAGCACTGGGGGCTACGCCTCCTGCTCGCGCCGCTCGCCAACCCCCTATGTCTCCCATGACCCTTGTGACCCTTAATCTGACCCTTGGTTTTTGACCCTTAATTATGGAGTCTTAATTTCGAGTACCAAATTTTCATCACCTGAAGTCACTTTGGATTTTTAGAAAATAGAGAGACAGTTTAAAAAATTATCTTATTCATATCGAAACATTTCTCTTGACTTCACTAGTTAAGGAATTTCCGCAGTAAGTATACTTGGTGAAAATTTCGAAATGGTATAAAGACGCAATATTTGGATCACACTGAGAAAAAAATCTCCCAAAAATTAGTGTGCTGTCCCCCAACGCCGGGACATAACATGGGGTCGTCGAAAAATTCATAAGTAGCACCCTAATTTTTGGTGGGACTCCGGCCACTTTTTCGGGGGATTCCCGTAAAAATTAGTGTGCCACATGCGAATTCTCCGATGACTCCCTGTTATGTCCCAGCGTTGGTGAACAGCACACTAATTGTTGGAAGGATTCTCACAAAATTCCGATGTATTTTTTCTCCGTGCATATGTTGTTGAGCACATTCAAAAACTATTCCCAAAATTTCAAGTACCTTGTCCACCCCATTTTCGAGATATACATCGTCAAAAATGGAAAAAAAAACAAAAATTGAATGTTTGGCGATGCATATCTCAAAAATGGGGTGGACCAGGGACTTGAAATTTTGGGAATATCTTTTTAATGTGGTCAACAACATATGATCCAAATATTGCGTCTTAGTACCATTTCGAAATTTTCACCAAGTATATTTACTGCGGAAGTACCTTAAATTTATCAAGAATCAAATCTGCATGAAGTCAGTTTCAACACATAAAGAAAGCTTTCGGAACTCGAATTCGCTTGAGACGGGATCTTGAAATTTCTGCACTCTGNGAATATCTTTTTAATGTGGTCAACAACATATGATCCAAATATTGCGTCTTAGTACCATTTCGAAATTTTCACCAAGTATATTTACTGCGGAAGTACCTTAAATTTATCAAGAATCAAATCTGCATGAAGTCAGTTTCAACACATAAAGAAAGCTTTCGGAACTCGAATTCGCTTGAGACGGGATCTTGAAATTTCTGCACTCTGTGAAATAGTATATTTCGTAACGAGTGCAAAAAAGTGTTTTTTGGTGAGTGATATAATCCCACGAGCTAAAAAACATTTTTTCACGAGTTACGAACAATATTTTTCATCACAATGTGGCGGAAATTGGACTTTTAGGCACGCGGAGCTTGCCGAAAAGTTCACTTTTCGTCACAGCGTGATGAAATAGTATATTTCGTCATTAGGCCGAAAAAAACGTTTCTGGCGAATATGAGGTTTGCAATCATATTCGTCAGAAAAGTTTTTTTTGGTCGTATGACGAACAATATTTTTCGTCATGACGGCCGTAGGTAGAGATTCACGGATTGCTTCGCGGAGCGAGTTCGTCATCGTGCGTAAAAAGGTGACTTCGCACCTTTTTACGAACCCCCCCCCCCAAATTCTTTAAAAAACTTACCAATGACGGTGCAAAGGACATCTCCATGATAAACAAACATCTGATTGATCACCAGTAGCACATAAGCAGCGATGAGACAGCCAACGTAACACATCAGCGTCATCCCATATAAACTCCTCAGCTCGGGAATGATCGCATACACCATGAAGGTAGCCACAAGAAAGGGAATCGAGACAATGACCCCGACTTTGTAAACGGATTCCTCCACAGTGATTGGCTGTGGCTCCACAGTGAGACAGACGAGGGCCCTGAGGACATTCTGCTCGTCCCAATCGACGCAGAATCTGCCCTGGGGCATCAGCTCGTCCAGTGCGTAAAGGCTGCCATTACCGTACAGCGTGAAGTTGTCTTCGGGAATTTTTTCGGGTTCCAAACGGCTTCTGACCCCCGGGCAGATCTCTTTGGTGAAGACCCGGAAGTGGTCGTTGACATTCTCCACGTGCCTCACGTCCTCGTGGAGGTTCTGGGGCCTCAGCTGGAGGCCCGGGGTCCCAGTGGGGCCCGACACACACTCAGACACATCTGAATCACTCAGGACTTCATTTTCGTCACAACATTTCACTAGACACGGGCTATCCTCGTTAATTTGGCAGAAACAACCGAATGTCACGTCTCCCTCTTTCCAGTGCAACTCCGGGGGGTACAAGTGACCCCCGTGGAGGACTGAACCATTGAGGAAGTGGATTGAGTCCTCCCGGGGGAGGGGGAGGGCCTGAGAACGCTCGCAGGGGGGATTTTGGTGGGAATTTTTGGGGGCCAGGAGGAAAATTAAAATTCGGAAAATGACGAATTTTATTATTTTTTTCATTTGGACTTTTTTTTACTTTGAGGGTGGTGGGGTCTGCCGGGGCTGGTGGCGGGTGGGTGTTGAGAGGGTGATTGAGGGGTGGCGCACAGGGACTGCAGGTGCGATGCGATCACGAGTGAGAGCTACGCGACGACTGATTTCGAATTTACGGAGGACTGAGGCTTTGTTCCCGCCAAATGCACTATGGTCTGGTGTTTACCCCGTTGATGGGGGTGGGGAAGGGTTGCGGTGGGCGGATCGGGGAGGGCTGGGGGAGGATCGGTAGTCGGCAAGGTAGGGGATGATGAGGGGAGGTGGGGTTGACAGTGGCGACATCTGTTAGGAAATTTTGAGGTAAATTCAGTTGCCAAGTGATCAAACGGATCAAGTCGATTTTGACTGTTGATCAGTTTTCAATTGATATCTCGAAATGAGGCAGTCTGGGGGTCGATAATGAACCCATTTTTTATCCTGAGAGAACGATCAAGAAATTTAAAAAAATATCAACGCCCTAAAAAAAATATCGAAGCTTTTCAAGTTTTCGAGAAAATCCATAAAACATTTTTCGTCGTGAAATTTATGTTTTTATTATACTGTCCGTGAAACGGAATTTTATGGACGCTTCGTGAAAGAACTAAAAAAATTGAAAGAACTAAATAAAATAGTACATTATGTCACAAGGACGATAAAACTATTTTCTGACGAATGAGACCTTAATATCGAAGCGGAAGGCGAGGATTATAATCACATGAGTCAGATAATAGTTTTATCACCGTGTGATATATTATATTTTATGTCAGCGTGAGGAAAATTTTGCTTCGTCGCAATTTTCTGACTCGTGTGGTTGCAGATCGAGGTGAAGCCGAGTCCTCCCACTCGTCCGAAAATAAATTTTCGGCCTTGTCTTAAAATAGTACATTATGTGAAAAGGACGATAAAAATATTTTATGACGAATGAGACCTTAAAATCCAAGCCGACGGCCAGAATTATAATCACATTAGTCAAAAAATACGTTTATCACGGTCTGATATACAATATTGTCTTCACATTCGCCCAAAAAGAACTTTTCGGCCTTGTGATGGAATAGTACATTATGTCACAAGGATGATAAAAGTATTTTCTGATGAATATAACTTTATATTATAATCACATATGTCAAAAAATTTATTGATCCTAGGAACGTAAATTATTCTTCATGTTTCTTAAAGAACTGGTGGGGCAAAATGGCTCATTTTTCTTTTAATTCCATTGCAAAACTTCTGGTTTTTCCAATGGCGCCAAATTCAAATCTCCCGCCAATCTGGCGGTCGCTAAGGTAGAAAATTCGTTGAAAAACGGTTGCAAAATCAACATATCGCACCATCTGACGGAATTTCAAGAGTGTCCCCTTCATTTCGTCGCACTTATTTATTTTTTGAGGTTAGGAGTCCCTCTGAGAGTGTTGGAAAATCGTTTTGGAGTCACGATCAGTGCCACAAAGGTACGAGTGTCCTTGCAATAATAATTGTCGTGTTTTTAATGAAAAAAATCCTACGAATTTCCGATTGAACATTAATTCGGAGAGATGGAAGTCGTTGAGGTACCTGAGGAGTCTGCACCGAGGACTCAGTTCACTGTCGATGATTTGGATATTGAAATTTTACCTCTGATTTACGAAATCATTCGGAGGTTCGTCACTCAATCTTTCGTTTCATCTCCTGGATTTTCGTAATCTTCATTTTCCTATTTTCGTGTGTGTCTCGAGAGCCGAAAGGGATAAAAAATCGAGTCCAGTTTTATCTGAAAGCCAGGAAAATTTCCGATTCCAAAACTTGGTCATGAACCCGTTTTGCCCCAGAACTGTGAGATACAGGGCGGAAAATTCGTTCTGGGGGGAGAAAACGTTTTTCGTGAATATTTTAGGAACACGTGGGGCAAAATGGGTTCACGACCAGGGCTTGGAATCGGAAATTTTCCTGGCTTTCGAATAAAATTGGTTTTACTGTGCAATCTCTCCTGGTTCTCGAGATAATGAAGAAAATATGAACGGAGATGAGATGTTTGATTACTTTTGGAGTTTTGAGTGCTTTATTTCTGTTGATAAATGTTTATTCATTTATTTTTGGGTTTCAGTGTTGAGAAGGATCCGTACGACAACACTCAGAAGGCCAAAGAGTCACAGGACACTAGTCACAAGATCCTAGAACTGCAGAAGAAATTGGATTCTGCAAGGGCTCAAGTAAATACTCAAAACAATTTTCATGAACGATTTGTTTTTTTCAATCAAAAATCTTAGGAAATGATTATTAATTACTGGGTAACTCTCCCACATTTAACGAACAGCGTGAAATAATTTTTTATGTTGATAATTCTACACGAAAAATTGAATTTTTGAAATGGAATCTTGAGTTTTCATCTCCTTTCCTCATTTCCTCACCCCCAAAACCCCAAAAAATTAATTTCCCTAGTTTTTTTAAAGCAGAATTTTTTTTTTTAATTTTAGTGAATAAAATAATAATGAAAAATGCCTAAAATTAATTATTCTTCACAGATAAAGCGTCTGCCAGGCATAGAATACAGCAAGGAAGAGCAATTGCAGAAGCTGGAGACCCTCAGGAAACAATTGAGACTGAAACGAGAGCTTCTGCTGAAATACCGTAACATGTGCACCTTCGAAGTGCCAAAAGTCTCTTAATTAAGTCGACAGAATCATCGAAAGACTATTTTTGTTATTAAAAAAACCCACCAAATTCTTCAGAAAGAAGTGGAGAAAGGATCCCAAGAGACTATTCAAGCACTGAAAAAAATCCAGAAGAACCAGAAAAGAAGGAATCAATCGATTGATAATAAATAGAGATAATTAATTGATCCAAAATGTTGAGATTTTTAATGAGGTATCTGGCGAATAACGAACGCCTAGTGTCGAAACTGGCTGAGAGCAAACCTATGAGACGAGCAGCCCAATTCGTCGTCTACATCTGGTTGAGGACGAAGTCGATTCATGGAGCGCAGAAACTGTCGGCTGACCCCAGGGAATTTGCAGCGCAGCTGAGAAATATCGCGAGGAAATATGCGAGTAATATCAAGGAGGGGATCGAGGATGCCAAGCGGGAGCTCAAGAAGAAATGATTAGTTGATAATTTAGAAGATTCGAATAACGAATTTTTGAGAATTTTCTGTGATCGGACGATAGATAAAATGATTAATTAATTAATTAATTTAGACTGGACGTTCATTTGGAAAGCTCTGATTGACGATTGGTTTTGGTTGAGGACTTGAGGAGACACAACGAGAACAAGTCTTTGGGTGGAAATGTTTGTCGGCTGCATCTCGAGAGGTGGAAGAGATGGAAGGCTCGTCTTTTTATCAATGGCTTGGAGAATTTCCCTGGCTATTCAATGAGACTATCTTCGTCTGTCCATCTCCTCAGGTTCTCAACCCATCACCAAGGATCATTGACTAATTTTCCCCTGGATATTTTCAATTTTTCATCGTTCATTTTGTTAACTCATCTCTTCCTGAAAGACGCTATGAAAAATCCTACAGAGTCACTCTGAGGCCCAAATCGCAGTACTTTCTCAGCATCATCAGGGGTGAGACCATCGATCCTGTACCCTGGTGACACAGCAAACGCTCCCAACTCAAACGACTCATATTTCTCCCTGGCAGACGTTAATTCCAGGCTGGGGAATGTCTTCAACGCCCAGGCGACTATTCCCTCGTTCTCAGAGATGGTTACAGTGCACGTGGAGTACACCAGGATCCCTCCAACCTTCAGCACCTCCACAGCCTGAAGACAGCATCAATCAAGAACATTTTAACCCATTTTCTCACCCAAATAACTCACCTCAAAATTTTCTCCAATCATTCCCCTGAATTTTTGATAGATGTTTTCAATTGAAGGCCCGAGTTGAAGACCCGAGTTTGTAGCAAAGATGTCAGACAAGATATGCATGTTTTTTTGGGCTCAAATGAAAGAGCGGGTCGAGAAATGGCGTGCTAGGGCCTCTAAAGGTGTTTTTGAACCAGGGGAGACTCCTAGACCCCACTGGACCATGTTGTCACAATTGCGCTTTTCAATTGAAAACAGACATCATCTTTAGAGACATTTCTCATCTTTAAAGACTTCTGCACGCCATTTTTCGAGCCGCTCTTTCATTTGGGGCAAAAAAAACATTCATATCTTGTCTGACATCTCTGCTACAAACTCTGGTCAACAACTTTGGTTTTCAGTTGAAATTGGAATTGTTAATTTACACAATAATAGGAGTGCATTGACGATTTTTTCTTAACTCGCAAAAATCTTCAAACAATTTGCTATCGATTGGTGATAAAATTTTTTGGAAACAATGAAATAGGGGGGATAACGCCTTTTTTTTCAGAGGTGATTTTTCAAAAATTTATTTACAAAAAAGTACTAACTAGCAAATGTTTTTTATTAGCTCGCAATTTTCTTCAAAACTACTTCAATGAGGAAAAAAATAAAAATTTGGAATATCTATACATGAGGGGCTAATTGATCGAATCTCTGATTTCGTAAATCTTTTCCCACACTGCACAGAGACATTTATTACGGAAAAAAGGCTCTTTGAAAAAAGTTGTAATATTTTGGAGAATTTTTTAATCACACTTTTATCACATAAAAATGGCAGATGGCTACATACCACTGTTTTGAAAATTGAGATACCTAGCTGTCACTTCCCATGAGGAGTTATTGTTTTGTTATCCACCATGGAAAATGACAGCTAATAGATAATTTGCCACAGCGAATCAGATATTTGTAATTTCCACTTTTTTCAACTCACTCGGAATCTCAATTAAAAACGCTCTTTGAAAAAATTCAGAATTTTTTCTATTTTTTTTATCATTCTATCCTAATTTTTGGGAATTTCTACATGATGTACCAATTGACAATTGACAATTTTGGATTAAGAAAAATGAAAAAAAATCCAGATAATATTCGAGAGATAGTACACCCGGGCCTTAATGATTGATAAAATCATTCGGAATTTGGAAATTTAGATTGACGGTTCCCTTTAGAATAAAAAAATTGGTGAGTAATATTAATAATTGACTTATTCCAAATTTAACTGTAATTCAAAATTTCGATTTCGCCATTGTCTCACCCCAAAAAATTTGAAATTCCCAAATTTGCAAAATTTCTCATGACCTCCATGATCTTGATAGATATTCCTGACCAGGGTTTGGAATCGGAAATTTCCAGCACTATCCAACGAGACAAATTTCAACCCCCTCCCCTCCTCGCCGGACCCTCAAAACCCAAAAAACTGATTTAACTCACAGCGGAGAATAGTTTTCTCTGGAGGGGAACGAAGGATCTCAATTCTTTGCAATTTATCTTGTTCAAAATCTGGGGTCGTTTTCCAAGGACACTGCAGGGCCCATCCAGGAGGATCCTGTCGAAACTACCCCTGGAGAATGGCGGTCCATCCTCGATCTTTCGGGTTTTTTCCTGCGAGTCGACTGATTTCGTGGAGTCGACGCAGAAAACTCGAACATTTCTGCAGTTGAAGTCTCTGCAGTGATTTTGCAACCTTTCGATCTTTGATTTGACCTTCTCCAGGGCGATCAGGGTTCCCGTGTCCTTCATGAGGGAGGATAAGTGCGTGGTTTTGTTCCCTGGGGCTGCGCAGAGGTCGAGAACTGCGTCCCCAGGACGAGGGTCCAGGATTCTGGAGCAGATGATCGAGGGGAAGTTCTGGAGGAGAGCAGAACCCCTCGGGATGTCTTCCTCGACTAGTTGAGGAACGTCCGACATGGTCTGGGTCATTCTTATCGCGATCCCTGTGCCACTCCCTCCGTCGAGGAAGATCGAGTGCCGGTTTTGGAGGAGAATTCCATTCCCCAGGAATTTTTTTTCCTCGAGGAATTGCTTTGAGAGGCCTTTCTTGCAGGCACCTGAGGCGTCTGCGAAGACACTCACTAGGTCTCCGATTTTTGACCCTGGTAACCAGATATTTTGATAATTTTTTAAATTTTTTGGGGGAAACTTTCAATGAAAAAAGGATTTTTTGGATTTGGATAATTTGAAAATTTTTTTGAGAGGAAAGAGTGAGGGAGGGGAAGTCGAACAATATTTCGTGGTCATTAAAAAAAGGCACTTGTTTACCACAAAAAAAAATTTGCAAATCGAAGAAGAATATTTTTGGATTTGGACAAATTTTGACATTTTTTGAGTCGTGTAATTTGGGGTTGTTTAGTAGAGAAAGTGGGCGGGAGTCCAAATCCAGAGATATACTGTTTTCATTGAAAAAACTCGATTTAACACAAAAAATAATGATTTTTTCAAATGAAAAAAAAATTTTAGATTTTAATAATTTTTGAAATTTTTTGAATTGCGCATTTTGAAAAAGTTTGGTGGGAAGCGTGGGGGAGGGAACGTCGAACAGTATTCTGTGATCGTTGAAAAAAGGCAATTTTTTACAAAAAAAAAAGTTTTCTAAATTATTAAAGAAGAATATTTTTGGATTTGGACAAATTTTGACATTTCTTGAGTCGTGTAATTTGGGGTTGTTTAGTAGAGAAAGTGGGCGGGAGTCCAAATCCAGAAATTTACTGTTTTCATTGAAAGAACTCGATTATAATTTTTCCAGATGAAAAAAAAATTTTGGATTTTGATAATTTTTGAAATTTTTTGAATTATGCGTTTTGGGGGTGTTTAATGAAGAAAGTTTTGGAGAGGGAGTCCAAATCCAAAAATATTCTTTTTTCATTGAAAAAACTCCATTTTTTGTGAAAAAACAATTTTTTTCAATGAAAAAATATTTTTGTATTTGGACAATTCGCAAATTTTTTTGAGTTCGGTATTTTGTGAGTGTCTGATGGACAGACTGTCTAGATAAAAATATTTCCAAAAAAATTTCTTAATCGTGCAATTACCTGAGCTGAGGCCCATAACACCAGGTGCGAATACATGAGCCCCTCTGAGAACTGCAGAACCACATACAGCGTCCACAATCGCCTCCTTTGGGTAAAGAATTATTGCAGATTTTCCAGAAACTCCAGAATCACGTTTTTTATCAACAATTATTAATTCTGGAATTTTATGAAATGTGGAAAAATTGAAGTCTTCATTTTTCTGGAATAAAAAAGGAACAAAAAATCATCGAAACATAATTATCATGAAAATTTGATTTGTTTATTATAATTTTTTTCATTTTACGTGTTCACAGGATTTTTTCAAAATTTGTATCAGCTCATCAGAACTATTGAATGAACTATTGGACCTCAAAACTGTATTTTTGGGGGCTGTCTCCAGCCAATTCATCATTTCCTCATATTTCTCCTGTAAAATAATAGTCAAATTTTTTTTTTAATGAAAAAGTACATTGTTTACTTCTTTTTACAATTCTCAGAATAATTTTTCGAAATAATCCAATTGTTAAAAAATTACGTGAACTGCTTTTTCATCGATATTTTCTCCACTGTTGATACGAATTTTCCTGAGATCATTTTTCAATTCCCGTTCGATTTCTTCTGAATTTTTAAAGAACGACTTTCTTGTGTTGGTGGATATTTTGTTTATATCTGTCATTTTTGTTAGGTTAATAGATTCGACACGTGCTGTCGTTCATTGTGAATCTGCGAGTGGATATGAACTAAGGTTATCGAGCTTTTCGCCATGTCAGAAACCTATTTGGCGCCCTTCATTGGCATAATGCGAAACGATGATATTTTCACCAGGTCTGCAAATGCCGTCTGTTCAGAGTCACGAGGGTCATACCTCGCGAGGGTCAAAAGTCGCAACAATCATACGCCGCAAGGGGCATGCGTCGCGAAAAAATTTTGAATAGAGTTATTTGGGTAAAAAAATGGGTTAAAATGTTCTTGATTGATGCTGTCCTCAGGCTGTGGAGTTGCTGAAGGTTGGAGGGTTCCTGGTGTACTCCACGTGCACTGTAACCATCTCTGAGATCGAGGGAATAGTCGCCTGGGCGTTGAAGACATTCCCCAGCCTGGAATTAACGTCTGCCAGGGAGAAATATGAGTCGTTTGAGTTGGGAGAGTTTGCTGTGTCACCAGGGTACAGGATCGATGGTCTCACCCCTGATGATGCTGAGAAAGTACTGCGATTTGGGCCTGAGAGTGACTCTGTAGGATTTTTCATAGCGTCTTTCAGGAAGAGATGAGTTAATAAAATGAACGATGAAAAATTGGAAATATCCAGGGGAAAATTAGTCAATGATCCTTGGTGATGGGTTGAGAACCTGAGGAGATGGACAGACGAAGATAGTCTCATTGAATAGCCAGGGAAATTCTCCAAGCCATTGATAACAAGACGAGCCTTCCATCTCTTCCCCCTCTCGAGATGCAGCCGACAAAGATTTCCACCCAAAAAATTGTTCTCGTTGTGTCTCCTCAAGTCCTCAATCAAAACCAATCACCAATCACAGTGTTCCCCTATCAATTCCCCTACCTTAAAAAAAGCACAACAATTACTTTTGACCTCTTTATTTACCGCCAAAGAGAACACAAAAAATCTACACGTAGCTCACTGACTTGTCATCATCATTACAATAAAAAAAACAAATCAAACTTCCACAAAATATCGTCGTAAAACAATTTAAAAAATTTCAGAGCTCTTCAAGATCTCCCTTCCAAAAATAAGAATCAAAAGAATCAATAAAACCCCCAAAATTAACAGAATGCACCTAAACCCAAGCCCAAGATGGCGTAACCGGTTGAAAATGGAACTTCTCAGGCTGTCCAACATGCGTGACTCCGGGGAAGTCCCTCCCCCACTCGAAGGCCTTCCCAAACCGTCCGGAAAATGGGCCGGAAGTGGCCTGGAACGTCTCAATCCCCTCGGACCCAATCAGCACCAATTTAGTATCAATGTTGCCGAATGGAACTGCCACCTTCTCAAGGTCACCCCTATAACCCATAATCCATTCTGCCCCAGGTGTTTCTTTGATTAATTTCGAGTTCAAAGTGGAATTGACTCTTTGAGAGACTGAAATATCTTTTTTAATCCCCCCAATTTCGTTGGTTTCCCCAATTTCTCCCCCTGTTTTCTCAATTTCCTCGGCTCCTCGGAGATGTTCAGGCCCTTCTGAAGGTGTCGAAGGCTCCAGAGGACTCGGAGAGACCCCTGGAGATGACGGAATGGACTTTTTGTGCTCGAAAACGGATTTCCCGTTGCAGAATAATGACTTGGTGTTGGTAAAAATTTTCGTGTAATCGATTGCGTGAGTTTCGGACGGATGCTGCTCGATTATCCAGATGGAGGTGTCTCTGGGGGTGGTGATGATCCACTGGACGGGTCTGGAGATGTCCTCGGGGGCCCGACGACGCGCCAGGTAGCGGCCCCAGGAGAGGGCCGAGGAGGAGAGCCAGTTTGAGGACATTATTCTGGCTGACGACATCACTGTGTGCTGGGGGAAAATTGAAAAATGACATTTTTAATCTGCATTCTATTCCTTTAAGGCACTGCCTCAGTCAGTTATATGGGAACAGTCGACAATGTACAAAAAATGGGAAATGTGAAAGTGGGTCAAAAGTGGCCATTTTACCCCACTCTCCCCCATTTTCTCTTTTTTTCCGGGTACACCAAATTTTTCTCTGGCCATTCGATTCAGTATAGTTTTGCACATTACCTTCTATTTTAGAGTCTTCTAGTAGGTGAATTATAAATTTCAACATAAATCCCACAAGATCACGTGTATAAAAAAAATTGTTTATTTACTTCTGGCGAGACGATTGCGATTAATTTTTTTCAACATCAAAGAAGTTACTTTCATATGTTCTGCTATCAGACACAAAAATTATAGAATTTTCCTTGAACGGGAAAAAATAAAAATAAAAATAAAATGGCTAAACATCCTTAAGGATATCCAAGTCATCGAAAAATGCCACTTACAGATTCTTGTTTTTCGGAGACTATGATTTCCCCCTCGGTCTCCTTGCTGTCAGGTTTGAAGGGCGCCAGTGGTGTTCCTGCGATGATCATCGTATCCTCGGTTTTCTCCCCGTGAAGAAGATAATACTCGTCTTGTGATGATAGTGCTCCTGGGTATGACGATGCTACGATAGAACGAGTTGGCACGCGAGCCGAATTTTTAGCTGAATTCAGGTGATAACCGAACGTATATTTTTTCATCAGTCTCAACATTTTTTGGTAGCTGAAAAAATTATTTTCGCATTAACGTCTCCTCCCACCACTCATTCACATACTTATCACAATTTTCAATAGTAAATTTACCCTTTAATCTTTCCACGAGTGATTTGCAGTGATAAAACAGATTTTTTATAAATTGAAAAAATTAATTTTCATTTTGCCAAAAAATTCTGTAAAATATCTAAAAGGATATAAAACTCAAGGAAAAGGATATTTTGAAAACAAATTGATTGAATTGGCTGCGTGAATTAGTAATTGAACTTACGGTGCAGCAGTGCTATGGATGATGCCAATCAACCCCCGGAGATTCCCGTCCTCCGTTGGTACGGATTTCACGAGAATTCCCCCCGCCTCGACGTTGAAATTTCTCTCCGACGTTGGATGATCCTCAGAGCCAAAGTTGGAGATGTCTGAGGCCATGGCAAGCCACAAAAAGTCCTCCTGAGCGAGCTCAGCCGAATTCTTGCTGCGTTTCACAGCTTGCCTCCAGCCTTGCTCCAGACCCTCCAATTGAGCGTAGAATAATTGAACCTTGAGGCAAATATAACGTTTCAATAGACAATTCTGTCAGTGATTTTTTTAATCTTCCATTGAATAGTTTAGTCAACCCGTCGATAGGTAAAATTTTTATTTTTATGACCCTTATGAGTTTGACCCTTGAGACCCTTGTCAAGGTTTCGGCCCTTGAGACCCTTATCACCATTTTCATCCTTATTCGTGTCTGACATCTGATCTTTACTTCTATGAATGTAGAAAATATAACATTTTGATCCTTATGACCCTTATGATTTCGACCCTTGAGACCCTTATTAAACTTCTGACCCTTGTTCGGGACAGACATCTGACGTATAAATGCTGGATATATAAAATTCTGCACCTTATGATTTCGAGCCTTGAGACCCTTACTCGTGACATATATCTGACTTTAACCCTTATGATCCTGGCCCTTCAAAGCCTTATCAAATTTTGGACTGTTATTTATTACAGATATGTGACCTCTACCTCAATAAATGCTGAATATATTAAATTCTGACCGCTAAAACCCTTATGATCCCGACCCTTGAGACCGTCATCAAACTTGTGATCCTTATGAGATTTTGTCCCTTAAAATCCTTATGATCCTGACCCTAAGATAAAGGTTAAAATCTTAATAAGGAAAACCTTATCCCTTATTGACGACAGATATTCTGACCTTTATCTCTCTAAATGCTGAATATATAAAATTCTGACCCTTATGACACTTATAACATCGACCCTTAAGACCTTCATCAATCTTCTGACCCTTGTTTATGACATATACCTGACTTTTCGCTCTATAAATACTGCAAATACGAAATTTTGACCTTTATAACCCTTATGATTTCGACCCTTGAGACCTTTATCAAAGTCGTAACGCTCATTCGTAACATATATCCGAAGTTTATCTTTATGAATGATGGATATATAAGACAGAGAAATAAATCTTACCATATGCCAGAAGGGATCCTCAGCAGCCAATGCATTAGCCCTATCTCTGGTCGCGTCAGCATTCTCCTTCAGCCCTTTCCTGATCTTATCACAGACCTCCTCCCTCCCAACACACGGTGCCTCAATGGTATTGTGCCAATGGTGATGTATGAGTTGCCAGGTGAGACTGCCCTCGAGGAGGCCAGCAGCGTAAGCCTGTACCGCGTCTGGATAATTCGGTGATGTTTCAATTTCCACGAATGACCAGCCCGTCTCCTGAATCCTTGTCCTGTAGTACCCCCTTGCTGTTCGTCTCGGTAGTGTCTCAAGGTCATTGCCTTGACCCCAGAAGTCGATTTTATACCCCGTCTTGGGGTTCCAGGTCACTACCGCCGCGTATGTTCCATCATTGTCAACCCTGGAATTGTGGAACAATCGGTGGCGGTTTATGTCGTGACCTTGACGGGTTAAAGGGTCAGGGTGAGGTTTACATTGAGAATTTTTATGGCTTTGAAATGAGACCGGTTTAGGTGACGTAGTTAGAGGAATTTTTGTAAAAAAAAACGGGTGAGGAATACCTTAAAACGATATGTCGCAACTGTGGGACGTTATGTCGTGACCTTGAAGAGCTATGTCATGACATTGAATGGTTATATCGTGGCCTCAAAGGACCATGTCGTGATCTTCAGAGACTATGTCGCATATCAGAAAAGCCACATCATAACGTGATAAAATCATGTCGTGACCTTGAAACGTTATGTCGTGACCTTGAAGAGCTATGTCATTACATTGAAGGGCTATATCTACTTTGAAAGGTTATGTCGTGACAACCAAGGGTTATATCGAAATCTTGAATTGCTAACTTGTGACATTGAAGAGATATGTCGTGACCTTGAAACGTTATGTCGTGACCTTGAAAAGCTATGCTGTGGTCTTGAAAAATCATGTCATCGTTTCGAGGGGCTACTTCATGTGCCTGAAAGGTTCCGTCATAATATTGCAAGGCTATGTCGTGACCTTGAAATGTTATGTCGCGCCCTTGGAGATATTCTTTAACCTTGAAGGGTTATGTCGTGACCTTGAAAAACTAATTTCATCCCGCTCAAGTAAGGAACGAAAAATTTAGGTAGAATTCTTGGTCTTCCGATACCTCCGATGTTTATGCGGGAAAAAAGGTCGTTTTTTTAACTTTAGCGGAAATTTCCCAAACTTTCCGATGGAAGCGGTTTCGTTTGTGTCCGAGGAGTGGCAAGTATTGGAAATTTACCTTCCAAATTCACCAAGCACAATGGCGCCGATTCCCATGAGGGCAACGGCAACCAAAATGTAGGTGGAGATACGGGTCTGCAGCCAGGAGGCTCCAACTACCTTCAGCATTTTGGCTCATCTGTGAGCTACGTGATTGATAAATTCTTACTTCTCTGTGGCATAAACACTCGCGGTCAAAAATAATTTTTTTTACATGAATTGAATCAGTGGTACAACGACGTTCGGCGTTCTCAACCCATCGATTACAGATTTTTTGTGGTCTCCCTGGGGCCTGCGGTAGTTATCACTTGCAGGCGCCGCTCGACGGTTTTCTGCAACAAGAAAATATTTATATATTTTTTTATTAATGTTTCCTTAATAAAAAAAAATCATTCCATCAGCGTTTATGACCCATTTCATCAGCCTTTGTGCCTTTCCTACTCTTCTCTTTATATTCCCCCCCCCCCCCCCCTATATCCGCGAAACCATGGAAAACCCCAGTCGTGCGACCGGTCGGTATTGTAGAGTCCTATCGTGCCCATCTTTTAATAGCCATAAATTCTAAAAACATGGAAAAATAANCCCCCCCCCTCCCCCTATATCCGCGAAACCATGGAAAACCCCAGTCGTGCGACCGGTCGGTATTGTAGAGTCCTATCGTGCCCATCTTTTAATAGCCATAAATTCTAAAAACATGGAAAAATAAATTGAATATGGGAAAACGTGAAATTGAAAAAAATTGTTTTTCATTAGAAAAAAATTGGAATTTGAAAGAAAATGTATTCATCTATAATAAATTCATAAAAATTGAATAATAAAATAGACATGATTTTATCAATTGAAAAATAGTTTTTTAGATTTTTTTTTCTGTGAAAAAGAAATATCTCGTCAATTACCGATGATTCAATTTGTTAATTGAGATGAATTTTCTGGTGTTAAATAAATTGCCGTGTTGATAAACTGTTAATCCGGTTGGAATGAGAGTAATCGAATAATTAGCGGTGATTTAAATTGAATTTGCAGGGGACTAACTGTTCATTATCAACTGCGTATTACATTTTCAATTTTTTCACTCCTCCTTCAATAATGGAAATTCTAATGTATCGATGACTCATTTTTTATAATTTTCTCTATCAATTATTCATGGTGGAGTAGACATTGTTAGTTATCACTGGTTCAATTAGAGGGGAGGACACGTGGATAGTTCATGAGCTGACGGATTCATGCGTCATTCCACTCGGATTGTACGGTCTAATCGTCTTGACTTCTTATTCCAAATAAAATTCGGTTTATCTTTGATTGCACTTTACGTGCAATACTTGTGACGCATGGCGAATTTTATTTCAGGAATAGATGGACTATTATATTTTCGTGGCAAAGCGACGCCGAAACAAAGCCAAGTTGAAGAAAAAAACGATCGAGTTGTCAATGTTTTTCAATTGAAATAAAAATTGTTTAAAATTGATCAATTCCATTATTTTTGTGGTTTTGGGATACAATTCTATTTGTTTCTCCAATTTTTCCGCATGATAAAAAAATGAAAAAAATGTATAGAAAATTTAGTTAAAGATATCCAAGAATTTATATTTTTTTCGACTTTCGTTGTTTATAAATAAACATTCGAAACTGTTTAAAGTTTCGGAAACTTAATTTTTTTAGGCATGAAATCGATTTCTGATTAAATTCTGAATATGAATAAACTTGATAGGATTCCGGACAAATGATTTTTATGGTGGAAAATTGGTTGTTTATAAATTATTCATGGAAAATGCTCGTAATTTTCAAAAATTGCAATTTTTTAATTATTTCGAATGTGAACTTTCTAATTTTTTTTTAGATTTTAAAAATGTTTTCTAACGGTGCAATATCGTGATTCAAATTCAGACCGCCAAAGTTTAATTAATAAAATGATTTAAAAAAAAAAGTAGAAAAGCATTTCATTGCAGAAAAAATAGTCAAAGTGTCTGGATATTCTTAACACGAAAAAAATGTTTTCAACTTTTATAATTTTTTTAGAATTAAAAATACATGGTTCCGATGATTTTCAGGGACTAGCAATATTTTTCCCAATTGTTATCGCCGTTTTGAAAACATTTTTAACTTAAAATTGGAAAAATCACGGGAAAAACATGTTTATGAGAAAAAAGTGACCAATAATTTTTTCCGCGTAAAAATAAATGTCATTGATGAAGCGACGGATATTACGACTATTGGGGGCTAAAAATATATTTTATTTTTTACGTTTTTCTGGCCGTTATCAAGGATTTTTCAGAAGTAAAAAACACTGAGAGAACGGAATTTGTGAAGATAAAAATATTTCATCAGAAAAATTATTTCAGATAAGAAATTGTCGAATCATCTCCGAAAAACGTCTGAATTTTGTTGGCCTTTTGATTTTTAGTTTGAAAAGAAATAGTTTTTCAGTGGAAAAGTTTTCGAGCTTTCATTTCCGCACATTCTTTTCATGGAGATGGAAAATTAAATGTGATTGACTGCGTCCAATGAACTTTCAAAAACATATTAAATTAAATTACCAATTATTTTCATCGCATACTTGCAATGGTAATCTCCGACTTCGTATGACTAATTCGATAAAGAAAAAAAATCACATAAGCGATCTAGATCTTTCTTCCTGACGATCATTATCGTTATCATGTCGCGCAGATTAATGGCGATGCGTCGTCTCGCCTCGTGCCACTTGTTTATCATTCATTCTGTCGCCGCGTACTTCCGGAAATAAAATGGATAAAAAAGTGACAAATCGTGATTGAAAATAAAAAAACAATTGATTACTTTTTAAAACTATTTCCGCACTAAAAAATCTCAAATTATTGTAATTATGATTTTTTTTATTTGCAATGTTTTAATAAAAATGAAAATTTAATAAAAAAAAAACAGTAGTTTGTGAGACATTGATTACAGAAATAATACGGGCCCAAAAAATTATAATTTTTCAATTATTGTAAACAATTTTTTTACTATTATAAATAAATTCTTGAAAATCCGATTTTTGTTAATTTGCAAAGTTTCTAATAATAATTGAAATTTTGTTTAAAAAAGAGTGGTTCGTGAGAATTAGATTACCAAATTAATACGGGCCCAAAAATTCTCAATTTTTCAATGATTATAAACAAATTTTATATTATTATAAATGAATTATGAAAAATCCGATTTTTTAAATTTGCGATGTTTCAATAAAAATGAAAATTCAATGAAAAAAAAACAAGTAGTTTGCGAGAATTCGCTTACAAAAATAATACGAGCCCAAAAAATCATTATTTTTTCACTAAAATACTTTTTTCATTTTTTTTCTTTTTTAAATAAAAAAAGCGTCACTCAACTGTGAAAATAAATGTGAATAAAATTCTCAGAACGAACGTTGAATCCCCCCCTGGGCCAACATAAGGTGCGAATGACGTCCGACCACGTGATGATCATGACCCCCAGTCTCCGGAATCCAATTTCAAAAGTCAAAAAGCTGATGGAGCACCTCGAAAAAAAAATTCTAAAAACCTTAAACTTCCTAAAAGAAAATCCAAACCACAGCCAAATGCTTCCCCCAAAGTTCCACTCCTCGAAATTGACATGGAGCGCGGAGCACACGATAAAAAAATCCCCGCAAATGTTCTAAAATAATCCGGAAAATTGTACTCACAGTTGATGAAAAAATCCCGTTCGTTGAATCGCCACCAGAAATTCGTATTTAAACTCATAGAGATTATTACATCAATCGAACAACAAAATGATAATAAACGATTGGTTAATCGCAATGGACCAGTTGCTCCGACACTGAAGTCCAAAGCGCTCTTTCATTCACTTTTAACTTTGAGTTATGGCTTCAGTGGCGTTCCACGCACAACTAGTCAACTACTTCGTGCCTCAACTTCGGCGAACATCGTACACTGGTCATACGGACGAAGATACTGTCTGATAAATTTGTCGGGGTGGGGGGAAGAGAGAAAGCGGCGGGAGACGTCTGCAGACACTGGGGAAACCAGTAACATGTGTTGTACAAATAACTATACACGCTCATATGACTATTTATAATAGCTATTCCACAAAATAGTATTTTCATCACGTTTCGCGTGCCTAAAACGTCCCTTTTCCACACATTATTATGAAAAATATCTTTCGCTACTCGTGGGAAAAGTGTTTTTTGGCTCGTGGGAGGTTTATAGCACACGAGCCAAAGGCTTATTTCGGCTCGCTTCGCTCGCTTAAATTGCGGTTTTCGGGCCTAATGACAAAAAATATTATTCGACACACGGCCGTGGGAACTTTTCTAACTCATATGATTACAAAACTCGCCTTCGGCTCGTCCTGTAACCTCATATTCGCCAGAAAAGTTCCTCACGGCCTAGTGTCGAAATGTACTATTTCGTCACTAGGCAGAAAAAACTTTTCTGGAGAAAATGAGTTTGAGCTTTTTTTGGTACTCGTCTTCGGCTTGGGCTCAGATGAGCTATAAAAATAAAATAACATAGTATAAATTAATCTAGCGACGGGCGCTTCGCGCCCGTAATAATAATTCGCAGTGAAAATTATTTAATATTCATTATCTAATGTCATTCAGCAGAAATTTCCTTTCTTAATTGTCGATTTCAATTGAATTCGCGTCGTTTTTCGATCGAAAAATGCACGCTCATATGACTATTTATAATAGCTATTCCACAAAATAGTATTTTCATCACGTTTCGCGTGCCTAAAACGTCCCTTTTCCACACATTATTATGAAAAGTATCTTTCGCTACTCGTGGGAAAAGTGTTTTTTGGCTAGTGGGAGGTTTATAGCACACGAGCCGAAGTCTCGCTTCGGCTCGCTTCGCTCGGTTAAATTGCGGTTTTCGGGCCTGATGATAAAAAATATTATTCGACACACGGCCGTGGGAACTTTTCTAACTCATATGATTACAAAACTCGCCTTCGGCTCGTCCTGTAACCTCATATTCGCCAGAAAAGTTCCTCACGGCCTAGTGTCGAAATGTACTATTTCGTCACTAGGCAGAAAAAACTTTTCTGGAGAAAATGAGTTTGAGCTTTTTTTGGTACTCGTCTTCGGCTTGGGCTCAGATGAGCTATAAAAATAAAATAACATAGTATAAATTAATCTAGCAACGGGCGCTTCGCGCCCGTAATAATAATTCGCAGTAAAAATTATTTAATGTTCATTATCTAATGTCATTCAGCAGAAATTTCCTTTCTTAATTGTCGATTTCAATTGAATTCGCGTCGTTTTTCGATCGAAAAATGCACGCTCATATGACTATTTATAATAGCTATTCCACAAAATAGTATTTTCATCACGTTTCGCGTGCCTAAAACGTCCCTTTTCCACACATTATTATGAAAAGTATCTTTCGCTACTCGTGGGAAAAGTGTTTTTTGGCTCGTGGGAGGTTTATAGCACACGAGCCAAAGGCTTATTTCGGCTCGCTTCGCTCGCTTAAATTGCGGTTTTCGGGCCTAATGACAAAAAATATTATTCGACACACGGCCGTGGGAACTTTTCTACCTCATATGATTACAAAACTCGCCTTCGGCTCGTCCTGTAACCTCACATTCGCCAGAAAAGTTCCTCGCGGCCTAGTGTCGAAATGTACTATTTCGTCACTAGGCAGAAAAAAACTTTTCTCGAGTTTAAACTTTTTTTTGGTACTCGCCTTCGGCTTGGGCTCAGATGAGCTATAAAAATAAAATAACATAGTATAAATTAATCTAGCGACGGGTGCTTCGCGCCCGTAATAATAATTCGCAATAAAATTTATTTAATGTTCATTATCTAATGTCATTCAGCAGAAATTTCCTTTCTCAATTGTCGATTTCAATTGCATTCGCGTCGTTTTTCGATCGAAAAATGCAACTTCTTTGGAGTAATAGAAGAAGAAATAGCACCAGGAAATGTGGAATTCTTGCTTTCATATTTATTTGTTTGAAATGGCACTGAGGGGTTTATTATCGTGTGAGAGTTTACTTTTGTAATTCTCATCGTCTAGAGTGTAATCGCGGTTTGTTTAATCGTTTTTCTGGGGAGTTGGTCTCCCTCTGGGCTTTTTCCTTCAATCTTTTTTTTTTGTTTTCTCTTTCAGTATTTTTAGAGACGCGGGGACGATGGCTTTAATAATGCGGACAAAGTGCAGATTCAATTGGAGTTAATCGGGGCTCGTTTGGATGATTAGGTGGATACAATGATGCTTTGTGGTTACGGTCATTATTTTTTGGGGGATTTTTTTTCATTCCGATGAGAGGAAAAAATGTGACGCGCGCGTCAATTTCTGTCAATTTCATTCCTCATGATTGATTTTGGAAAAAATTGAGGGCAATTTTTCTGTCATTTTTTCTTCATTACTTGTTCATTTTATGATTTTCCTTTTGACCCCATCGATGACAAAAATTATGAGGAATTTTCTGTCTTGATTGTCACGAGGAATTTCTCGATTGCTCTTTTATATCCGGCGGATGAATTGATCGAACAATGAGACCTCGTATTTTCCCCCTTGAGTGTCTTCATTTTGGCGTCCGGAACGGACATTCCAGGCGCTCCTTCCAACTCCCTTTTTGCCGCGAACGCCCGCCGAGGAATTCAATATACCGGGGTGTCGCTCACGTATTCTGCATCTTTCATCCACGATGTGACCCATTTATTTTTATTAATTCTTGCTGAATAGTTGTGGGGGTTCCTTGATATTTCAATTGCGGGGGAAATTGTTCCGGAGTTGTCAAAATTTTTCGATTATTGAGCATTTTTTTATAAAAGAAATCCGATGAGAAATTGTAGTGGAAGAATTGAATGAAAAATTGTTGCCAATATTGATCTTTGCGATGTTGGCAATTTTTTTGTTTATTAGAAAATAAAATTTTTATTGGGAATTTTTTCAATTAGTCTGAGTTAATAATTGATTTGGGAATGGAAAAATTTGTCGAAAAAAAATTTCTTCAAAGAAATACGAAAAAGAAAGGTCTTACGCGAATTTGCCTATTTGTTTATTAATCGTCGAACAATATTTTCTGTCATTGAAAAATGAGCAAAACTTTTTCGTTAACAAGCGAGCAATTTCGAGGGAAAATAATGACTGCAACAAATTCAAGGAAATGGAATAAAACTGAAATGGTCGATGCAGGAAATTCCAAGATTTTAATTGTTATGAAATTGAAAAGTAATGGGGGACTTTAAGGCGCTTGTGCCGAGGATCTAGAGCCTGCGCCTCCCCCTCGGTCTAGACATCCTCGAGTCCACCCGCACGGCGCCAAATTCGTCAGTGTGAATCCGGAAAAGGGTCGGGATCCTTTGAATATTCAAGGGAAATTTTTGTTCGAATTTACGCCCTGGAAAAGAATTACTTTGTGATTTCTGCTAAATAACTAGACCGAAAATCATGAAATTTCTGATTTTAGTCTTTATTTTCTCGCGAATTGTCGCCAGTATTTCTTGTCAGTCAGTGCATACTGTACCTCTTGGGTCTGAAGCTACTTTTCATTGGCGGTAAAGAGAAAATTCATTAGTTATTCCTCAATTATGAATGTATAATGAAGAAAAAATTGTGAAAATGAAATTTGGAGTGAAAAAAAAATAGTGATTTTTTCAAATATTTCATTTTCGGACAAATTATAGTTTCTTTTACTAGAAAATAATCATTTCTGTCATTAATAAAATGAAAAAATTGACAAACAATTTTTTCTGTTTTTTTCCTAGATGTTTTTTCCATTTGAAAAAACTATTGAAGTGAAAACAAATATTTTTAATATTTTGAAAAATATTTTTCTTGAGTGAAAATGTTTCTTTTAGCGTGAATTCAGTTGAGGAAAAGGTGACGATTGAGGTTCACTACTCAGGGGAGAAGTCCTCATGGTTCGCAGTTGGATTTTCCGATCGGGGAGAGGCAAGTCCGTCGGACTACTGCATATTGTGGATCGATTGGCACCGAGGAGTCAATTTCCACGTAATGAGAATTACCAAACAATCGATTAACAATAGGAATCAATATTGCCCGCTTCTACTTCCTCCAAACAATTTTTTTTATCCAAACAAAAAGTCAAAAGTGAGAGGTACGCCGGCCGGACAATCATAAGTATCAAACGATCACGAGGGCCATCCTCGCGAGGGTCAAACGTCGCAAGGGTCGCACAACAGAGGCGATCCTTCAATCTGAAGGGTGAAACTACCAAAAGGGTCAACCGGGGGAGGCGGGCGGCACAATCGTAAGGGTCCAACGATCATAAAGTAGAAACAAAAGAAGCAAGTAGGACAATCACAAGGGTCAAACAGGATAACTAGGCCGGGTGATCCTTTGTGATTGTCCTGATTGTCTGCCTCTCACTTTTGACCCTTGTGATTTTTCAGCTTGCCTCTCCCGCAGGCAGAGCAATGACAAGGGTGGGACGATCATAAATCAAGAGAAATAATCTGAAGGCTATCCCGTTTGACCCTTGTGATCGTTTGACCCTTGCGAGTTATGGTGGTTGTGACGTTTGACCCTCACGAGGTATGACCGTTGCGACGTTTGACCCTCGCGAGGCATGACCCTTGCGGTGTATGATTTTTGCGACTTTTGACCCTCGCGAGGTATGACCCTCGTGACTCTGAACAGACGGCATTCGCAGTCCCGGTGAAAATATCACTGTTTCACATTCAGCCAATGAAGGCCGCCAAATAGGTTTTGACAGGAGATTTTTCAAGGGTCAATACCCTTAAAGCTTCGAGATTGAAAATCCTTTGAAAGCCAGTACAACATTCATATTCCGATATCTAAGTGATAATAAAATGAATCCCTTTTATCATCATGTTTTCATGACGTTTGCTAATTGTTCAAGGATGCCTGGGCAGACGACAATGGAAGAATCGAGACCGACGCGAGTCAAGACTGCACGAACTTCGCCTGGAGGAAGCCAGACAAAACGAACGTGACCAAGTTCACCTTTGCCCGCAAATTTGACACCTGCGACGAGCGTGATTACGTTATCGAGGTATTTTGATACTCGAATCATCAGATATTTTTTCTTACCGCAAGGTGACAGAGAATCTCCGACCCCTTTCAAATTTAACTCCATTAAAAAAATCTTCATTTTTAAAAAATTGAAAAATAATTTTTCCGATCGTTAATGATTGAAAAATGAAAATTTTCATTTCCGCCCCAATTTTTCAATTTCTTAGACTAGAAAAAAATATTTTCTAGTCTGAGAAAATTTTTTATGTATATCGTCTTCAAACTTTTGGATTCATTATTTCTCAATCATCTTTTTTTATCGAAAAACAAAAATATTTGGGAAATTTTATCTTGAATTTAGACATGAATCATCGAATAAAAGAATGAAAAATTCCGTGAAACTCGTTTTTAAATCATTTTCACAATTGGATAAATGAACTTGAAAGACGATCCGGAATCGTCGACTCTTCGGGAGTCTAAATATAATTGCGCAGACCCCCCCCNCCCCCCCCAATGTTTACATTTCTCTCGAATCATCAAAGTATTAACATTACCTGATAAACTTATCTAAAATGCAATTCGATCACTCTGCGGTGTCTCAGAGGGGCACCACCCACGTAGTCTGGGCGAGGGGACGGGGGCCCCTGTCCTCCCTCGACGGATTGAATGTCGTCTCTGACTCCACGGCATCGGGGATGTCCAGGACTGAATTACTGAGGCTCGGAACCCACAAAAAATCGAATTTTCCACCTGACGCGTGGAAATTTCAACTTCTCGCTGATCAAGTCAGAGTTCCTGATGTAGAGACTACTTACTGGTGCAGGGTACAGCGAGTTCCTGATGCTTTGAGACACAAGTATAATTAATCAAAATTTTTCTCCTATTTTTTACATAAACGAGTGGACAACTGCGTTTTTTAAATTAGCAATTTGCTTTCGAATGGGTTCTCTTTTTTTCATTCTTATTTCGCTATTCTCTTCTTCTGTTTCTTCATGTCATAGTACTATCATCAATTGAAATGTCATCAGAATTTTGCGTGTTATTTCGTCCTGTCAAATAATTCTACATTCAGACCCTCAAGACTCGAATTCGTTTTCAGTCCGGGTTTAATCGAGGTTCAATCAAGGTTTAATCAGTGTATAGCCGGGATTTAATCAGGGTTTATTCAGGATTTAGCCAGAGTTTAACCCAGGTTCTGTCAGATGTTAGTCGGGACCATGAATCAATATGAATAAGTATTCAACATAATAAACTGGTACCTGAGTTTAATAGAGATAGAGATTTTTATATAAAAAGCTCATGACGGTATTGTGTAACTTGATAAGCAATGATGCTGTTCTCACCATTTTTCAACTTGATTAAGAAGCCATTGAAATATACTTTTCAAGCCCTGATTTAATTGCTATTACTGATGATTCTTTCAGTAATCATGAAAAAACCGATTTTCTCTTTCAAATCGCATAAACAATGTGCTGTAACTCAACAACGAATTATGCAACCCCCATCATATTCTAACAGAATTAAGAGGGTATTGTTATCAATTTTTTGAGCCATCACTAATTCCATTTTGATGACAATTTTTTGAGTGATCGTTGAAAAATCGGTTTTTGGAAAATACCAATTTTTTCGAATCTGAATGAAAAATTGAATTTTAATTGGTGTTAATGAGTAGGGCTTATTAGAGCCTATCTTCATGACAAAATTCATGAAATTTGAGCAATTACAATGCTTTCATTCGGGAGCAAAAAAAATGACAAAAAAGTATTTTATATCAATGTTTTTTTTTCCGGTGGCTTGGCGCAATGGATAAGTTCGTTGCCTCACATGCGAAAGGTTCCGAGTTCAAATCCCGGCCGGGTAGAATGGTGCAATCTAACCATTTAAACTCTTGATCATCATCGCAGCATACCCTAACCGGGTCGAGGCGATGTAAAGTAACGATAAAAAAAAAATTTATACAAAATTCCTTTGACTCAACAATTTTTTAGTGCAGAAAAAAAATGCATTTTCATGTTCGGAAATTGTTCTTATGCAATTAAAAATGAGGTATTGCTTTTACTAATTAATTTTCTCCTCTTTTTGTGCACAAAAAATTCCTCAATTTTTTTTTGAAAATAAAAATGAGTTTGTTTCATTGGAAAACATCACATGAATGATTTTATGATATGAAAAATGTTTCGAGCGTTCAATTGATGATCTACTTTTCCAATTTTATCGTTAACAAAATGCAGACACCACATATTGCAATTTGGCCCAGCGATTCAGAAAGGAAACGAGCATTTGGTGCATCACATGGAGGTCTTCCACTGTGCGGGGCCTCCAGACGCTGCAGTACCTGCTTACAGCGGTCCTTGTGACGCCCCGGATCGCCCCGAAGGCACTCAAGTAATCAATAATAATAACTTCCTGAATTAATTATTTATAAACAGTTTTATCTTATCCCGATCAACTTGAAAATTGAGCAATAATGATATTAGGCCAAAATGTCAGCATTTCTTTCCTCCATTTTTGTCACGATAATCGTTCGCTTCGATATCTCGAGAGGGGTGGGGGGTGAGGGGTTGCGAGTGGTTTCATTGGAAAGTTGGGGAAATTTCCGATGAAAACCTCTGGTCATGAATCCCTTTATCTCTCAAACTACCGGGAACACAGGACAAAAAAAATTTCTCCAAAAATTTCCAGTCGAGAATTTGCTCCTGCGGTTTTAACTCCGATACTGGGGCAAAAAGGGTTCCAAACCAGGGTATCGGATCGGAAATTTCCGCGGCTTTCGAATGAAATCGGATTCAGCTGCTTACCTCTTCCGGTTCTCGAGATATCGAAGAAAATGCAGAGGATGAATTTTATCGATTCGTTGGGTGCATCGATGATAGGGAAAACGATGAAAATGATGAGAAACTGATAGGGAAAATGATGAGATTTTTCTCTCAGATATGCAAAAAAGTGTTGGCTGCTTGGGCCATGGGCGCTGACGCCTTCATCTACCCCGAAGAGGCGGGACTGTCAATCGGAGGAGAGTCATTCAATTCCCACATTATGCTGGAGGTTCATTACAATAATCCAGAGTTGCAAAAGGGAAAAATCGATTCCTCTGGTATCGAGTTCTATCTGACGGAAACACTCAGGAAGTATGACGCCGGAGTCATTGAACTCGGCCTCGAGTACTCCGATAAAATGGCCATTCCGCCGCAACAAGTGAGTCGATATTTTTTTTTCCAATTACCACACAACTCTTCTCGGACTTTTCCATCAAAACGAATCTACTTATTTAAAGGCTTTTTTTTCCTACCCCATCTAAATCCCATCCAATCATTTCCTATGACGTCACAAGATGTGGACACGTATGAAAAAGTCCTATAGGATTTTCTGTAGCATATCCTATAGGATTTCGTATGACATTTTCAACAGGATTTCCTATCAAATTGAGGGGCAAAAGAGTCAATGAAGGTCAAACGTGTCATATGGGGGCTAAAGGGTCGTATTAGAGTTATTAAATGGTAATATGGGGATCATATGGGGGTCACATGGAGGTCATATGGGGTGACATAAAGGTCATTTGATCCTCATGAGCCTCCTACGACCTTTGTATGACCCTCGTATGCCCCCATGTAACCCTCATGTGATTTATTTAAAGGCTGACTCTTATATAACCCACATATATGACCTCATATGACTCTTTTGACCCTCATTTGTACCCTTATGACCCTAAATTTCATAAGAAATTCTTTTGAAAATCTTATAGAATATACTATAAGAAATCCTATCTGAACAATCCTATAGAAAATGTTCGAATTCTCCATAGGATTTCCTATGGGAAATCCCAAAGGATACCTTATGGGAAATTCTCTAGGATTTTTTCATACGTGCGAGCGCTATATAAATTCCGCTCTTTAATATAATTAATGTAAAATATGACCTTTGTATGACCCTCGTGTCCCCATGTAACCCTCATGTGACTTATATAACCCACATATATGACCCCATATGACCCTTTTGACCCTCAATTTCATAGGAAATCCTTTTGAAAATCTTGTAGAATATCCTATAAGAAATTCTATAGGAAATCCTATCTGAAAAATCCTATAGAAAATGTTTGAATTCTCCATAGGATTTCCTATGGGAAATCCTATAGGATATCTTATGGGAAATTCTCTAGGATTTTTTCATACGTGCGAACGCTATATAAATTCCGCTCTTTAATATAATTAATGTAAAATATGACCTTTGTATGACCCTCGTATCCCCATGTAACCCTCATATGACTTATATAACCCACATATATGACCTCATATGACTCTTTTGACCCTCATTTGTACCCTTATGACCCTAAATTTCATAGGAAATTCTGTTGAAAATCTTATAGAATATCCTATACGAAATCCTATAGGAAATCCTATAGGATACCTTATGGGAAATTCTCTAGGATTTTTTCATACGTGCGAACGCTATATAAATTCCGCTCTTTAATATAATTAATGTAAAATATGACCTTTGTATGACCCTCGTGTCCCCATGTAACCCTCATATCACTTATATAACCCACATATATGACCCCATATGACCCTCATTTGGACCCTTATGACCCTAAATTTCATAGGAAATCCTTTTGAAAATTTTGTAGAATATCCTATAAGAAATTCTATAGGAAATCCTATCTGAAAAATCCTATGGAGAAGGATTTCCTGTCGGAAATCCTATAGGATGATAGGATATAAACGACGACCGAAAAAAATAATTTTTCTAATTATGTGGTCGAAAATGGTCCCATTGGATAGCCCCGGAGATACTCGTTTCCAAACCTTGCTCATGAACCCATTTTGCCCCAATGGTTATTGCAAAATTGCAAAAAAAACTACTTGACCTTGAAATACGTTTTTTTAAATACCTCGAAATTGAGTGGGGCAAAATGGGCTCATGATCAGGGTTTGCAGACGGTAACGTCCCGGGCTATACGATGGGATGACTTTTGACCCCAAAAATCGTCAAAAATGGAGAAATTTCCTATTACCGAAATAGGAAGAATTTGAGCTGTCCGGCCACTGCGTGACAGAGTGCACCGGCGTTGGACTTCCGCAAGATGGAATTTACATTTTCGGATCTCAACTCCACACTCACCTGACTGGCACACGCGTCAGAACCCGACACATCAGGGACGGCCGGGAATTATCACCGCTCAACTATGATGATCATTACTCAACGCATTTCCAGGAGATTAGACTGCTGCCGGAACCAGTTCATGTGCTGCCGGTAATTAGTAGTCAATTGCCCGTAGAGTGTAATTATAAATATTGTGTAATAGTAACTAGCAGTAGTTTTGAGTGGATGCAAAATTTGCTAGGAATTGGTGAGAATTTTTTCATGAATTTTCTCACTTTTTCACATCTTAATTTTGTATTTTTCTCTCAGGGAGATTCTCTGATCACCACCTGCACTTACAACACTATGGACCGTCAGAATGTGACCTTGGGAGGGTTCGCCATATCTGATGAGATGTGTGTTAATTATATCCATTACTACCCCAACGCTCGGCTGGAGGTGAATTGAGAAAAAAATTGCTTCCAAAATTTCAACTTTTTTTTTATGACGAAATTATTCCAATAGACATGAGTTGATATTAATCATCGAATAAAATAATAAAGCAAGGGGGAAAGTGCTTTCGTCACAGTATAGTCAATATATTTGTGGTAATAAATCAGCAATTCCTTTATATTATTTAGCAATTATTTAATAATTTGGTAATAAATTAGCTTCTGAATGGAATTTCTATGACGATGGGTTTTAACTTGAATTCGATGATTCATTGAATTCAACATTGCCTCAACGCTGCCAGCCAACATCAGCCCAACATTGCCATTGGAATTTGTACGACGATATATTTTTAACTGAATTCAATGATTCATTGAATTCAACATTTCCGCCAACGTTGGCAGCCAACATTTGTCCCAACATTGCCCTAACGTTGGCAGTCAGCATTGCCATTGAAATTTCTATAACGATGTATTTTAAATTGAATTCAATAATTTATTGAATTCAACATTGCCCCAATATTGTGCTAACGCTGGTAGCCAACATTACCCCAACATTGCCCCAACGTTGCCAGTCGACATTGCCATTGGAATTTCTATAACGATGTATTTTAAATTGAATTCAATGATTCATCGAATTTAATATTGCCCGAACGTTGGCAGCCAACCTTAGTTATCCTGACATATTGTATTTGACGGATACAATGCTTCCATTTAGAAGCAAAAAATTTATAAAACATTCCTATATTTTCATTTCTCCATTTTTCAAACTCATCTTAGGTCTGCAAAAGTGCAATCAGTGATGACGCCCTTCGCACGTACTTCAGGTACATGAGAGAATGGGAAAATCAAAGAACCGACTTTGACGATGCGATTTCCAGAAGTTACGGAAATATCGAATGGACGAAGATTCGAGTTTCTGCGCTTCGTGATTTGTACCAAGCAGCGCCTCTCGGTAATGAAAGAAAATATTAATGAAAAATGTAAAGATCACTATTAAGAGCTTCAGACCCTGGTGACCCTTGCGAACTTCATGGCCCTAAATCTCCTGAGATTCTCCGCTTTATCGTTCAGAATTGTTGACAGGATTTTTTTTCAGGCATGCAATGTAATGGATCAGATGGTTCTCGTCTCCCAGGGCTCTGGGATAATATAGCCGCGACGCAGGTGAAATTACCTCTGGCACCACCCCCCAGGGATTGTCCACAACTTTTTTCTCATCTGAACGATCTTCATTGATGAAAAAAAAATACTCGAAAAATATATTTTGAAATATTTTCTTCATTAGCCCATAAAAACGACCGGGAAGATTCTGCATTTATAAACTGTTGTACTCAACGACTCATCTGGAGTCTTCTACCTTAAATCGAATTCATCACCATTCACCACCTGTATCTCATTTGAATGCTATTTTCGTGTAATCGACCCTTGTTTTTTTCCGATAGCTGAAGAGTGCTGACGGTATTTTTGTGCTTTCGTGAATAAATGTATAAATAAATAAAAAATCGATCCATTGCAATCGTTTTACTTTTCAATCACATCCTCGATCATGTGACACACAAATTTCGCAACTCCAAATGATGGTCACAAGGAATTTGGAAGCAAATTGTCCAGTAAAAAAATCACTGGATTTTCCGTCACTTTTGCCAGTGATGTACCTTCGTTTTGGGGCTGCAACTCACATGGGTTCACATGGTTTTTTTTCCTGGGCACATGGAAACTTTTCTTGAGAAAAATTTTCCAATGGAAAAATTATCCAGGGAAAGTTTCCGGAGGATTTTTTCCAGGGAAAAAAATTCGGGAACCCAACTCATTGCTAACCCAAAAACGCCAATTAAGCATTCTCACGTTTTTTAGAAACTAAGACAGTCCTGCTGTCGTAATTGAGTCTCCAATGCAAACAGTTTCTGGACGGAAACTGCAGACAAGTGTCACCCTAAGACCGCTTAGGTAAGGCAGTCCATGCCTAGAGAAACTGAAATTCTTCGAATTTCCTGAACGAAAATAATATGAAAAATACAATTTAAAAAAAATAAAAATAACCAATAGACTGGGTCCATACGTCACAATCAAATTGTCATAAGTGCGACGATTCGCTAATTATTTTAGCTGCATCAGGCTCTGGAAACCCGACCGTTGTTCCGGGCTACCTAGACATTGTCCACCCCTGCAGCAGAACACGATTTATTACATGGAAACCATGAAAATGAGTCGTAGAAAATGACACAAAAATTCTCTCAATATTTTTTATTAATAATAATGGTAGCACAATCGTATGAAAAGGAACAATCTTACTCGATTGTCATAGAACTTTTTTCGCACTCGATATAAAAAAATTTACAAAAAATTCCTTCTTCGCTTCCACCACTCGCCCTTACAAAATTGTGTATATTTTAATAAGTATGCTCGTTTATACTTCCTCATCATTGCTTAATGGTGGTTTATGCTAGGAATATTATGTATAGGATATAATACACACGTCCGCAGCCCTGTGGACGGCAAGCCAAGCCTTCTTGCGGTAGAAAAGGGATAAACAATTTTTTTTCATAAATTTCTTAACATTTTTGAGACGAGTGAAACGCTTCAATTCATCGTTTTTCGTGAATATCTCGAGGACTTCAAGAGATATAGACTTTAGCCTAGTCTCACCCCAAAATCTAGCCAATTTTTAATTGAGAAAATTCCTCACAAACCCATTTTGGTGTCTTATTTCTCAAATCATGACTTTTATCACTTGAAATTTCGCACTCCTAGATGACTTAGAAATAACAGGGGCAAAATGGGTCGTCTTTTCATGACTGACATCTCTCTATCTCTTCAGGTCGAGCGGATAATCTTCAAAGTTCTTTTTCAACTTTCTCTTAAACTGTTTTTCCTCATCAAAAATTCACCATAAAAATTGTACAAAAATTTGCGTTCCAAAATCTTGGGAATCTGCTGCCACATCAGGTAATAATCGTAATATTTTGGTTCATTAGAAATCCGTTGAAGTACAAATGGAGTAAAGTTGGTCAAAAATGCAATTTCATTAAGATTATGTATGCTTTTCTTGTTTTTTGGCACCTACGTTCTAAATTCTGAAAAATACAAAGCATTCAGCTCATTTCGTGTAAAAATACGAAATATATATTCATCTATATACTTTATAAAACCTTCAAAGGATGAGAAAATTGGTAGGAAATTCATAAAAATTGGTTAATATTTTTCATTCTCATTCTCTTTCCTCTCTTCTTTGTTCCATCGTTTTGTCTCTTCATACTGGCTTATCAGTCTCAGCAGTCTGTTATCATGAAATGATTACAATTGTTGCCTTGAAGTACAGAAATATTCCAGAATTAAAGTGAAGACTCACAAATCTTCAATTTCACCTGAAAAATTGAGTGCGAAAATTGTGTTTTTCGCATTTTTTAGGATATCTCCCCAATTGGAATAGCTGTGGGGTCGAAAATGACCCCATTGCACAGCCGGTGAAATTTGCGATTCCAACCTTTGGTTTTAAGTCCATTTTGCCCGATCAGAGCTCTTGAAAACTCGAAATTCCTATTTCAACCTCGAAAAAATGTTTGGTCAATAACCCAAGAAATTACGGGTCAAAATGGGCTGGAAAACCAGGGTTTGGAATCTGAAATTTTCCCAACTGTCCCTAGGAGTCATCATCGACCCCCGATCAACGGCAGTTTTCCTGAAAATCCCAAAAAATCATTAAGCATAACACTTAATTAAAAAATAACTGGTTTTGCTGCTCAAAGTCACTCTAACCCTAAAAACTACCTTCAAACATCATTATTTGGACTAGATTAAAGCGATTGATGATTCTCCCTGTTCATCTGCAGAAAGCAGTAGAGAATACCAGCTTGTGCCATAACATCAACAGTTCCAGCAGCAAGGGGATCGCGGCTCTTTGGATCTGACCTTGAGTTATTGGTACCAGGTCTGAGTAATGTTGGTCCAAAGACAGTGGCAAGATTGTGCAGGGACATTTTGTTCTGCCCCTCGTGTTTATTAACTCTCCTGAGATGAGCGAGGAGAAATTCGATGACCGCTTTGTTGACCCCTGGGAGGTTATCGTGGACCCTGCGGAGGGCGGGGCCCCTGTTGAGCTCGCCCGTCTGAAAGGCCTCGAGGTACGCGGGATAGAGGGCGTCAGTGAAAAGGGCCTCCGGCATTTCGCGGAGATAGAGCTTGAGAACTCCAGTGACCGAGTGAACATCGACCTGCAGAGATGAAGAGAAAAAATTGGCTCAGAACTCCAAGCAACCGTCACAAGACCTGAATAAGGGCTTGCGAAGGTTTCCATGAGGTCCTCTTACCTCTTTCAAAAGTTGCTCAGCCTCGTAGGAGTTGCTCTCAAAGGACTTCCTGAGTTTCATGACATCCGAAGCCGAGCCCGAAACTCGATAAAGCCCTACTTCGCTCATCCCGCGTCGCTCAACTTCTCTCACACAAGCTGTGATGATGAACGGAACATCTCGTTTTTCCCTCCTAGAATCGCGAAAGATTACTCAACCCACCGGACATCATCGTCGACCTCATTCACCCCTCAACCGAATACTTACTTGCAAACCTGTTGAATCTTCGCGCCAAAAAGCCCCTGCGGCTTTGCGCTGGGCACCCTCCTCAAGGTGACCTCACTCGGCACGAATTTCAGCCCGACATCTAGGCTCGCGGGTCCCAGATTGAGTCCCCTCTCGACCCCATCCCCCTGGAGCCAGCTCCTGCTCAACTTCTGAGTGCACTTACCCCTGAGCACGCTCTTCCCCCCGCACTCCTCATACAAGAGCACCCTGAGGTTCTGACTCCCCTCGAGCTCCACCACGAAAGTCTCCCCCCAAGTCGGCGCCTGCCCCCGGGCGATCCTGCTCTTAGCCCTCTTGAAATAGTGCCCATAGCTATCAACCTCTACCACGACGAACAGATCCCCCACCCTCTCCACTCCCGGGGGGATCAGCCCCAGGAGCGTGAGATGAAGATCCCCCAGAAGGAGACTCTCATCGCGCCCGGATCGCATCAAGTAAGACCCCATGTCCGTCTGGAGGTAAGTCCTGCACGCAGTTACCCACGCCTGCAGCTCATACATGGACAACGGAAGACTCCCCGGGGGCATGCCCCCCTGCTGCAGCGCGTCTACCGCCTCGATCCACTGGCCCCGCTCAAATTCACTCGACAGAAAGAATGTGTAACAATTCTGCGTTCTCGCTTGCTTCTGCGATACCCGCATCACCAAATTGGGGCTTGCGAGCACCAGTTGCGCCTCGAGTTCCGCGAGCTTCTTCCTGTTTTTCTCTGAGCACCTCTGTGAGCGATTCTTCTTCTCGTCGTTTCTCTCCTCCCAGAGGATCTGATCCCTAACGGTGCACGCTTGTGACCGCAACGAGACAACATTGGCCGGAGAATTCTCTCGCGGCTCAATACCGTCTTCCGTCACGAGCGCCTCGCTCACAGGGACGTACCACTTCAGCTCAAACGTAAATTTATCCCGTCCCGATGCCTTGTACTTGGCGCAAGCTATGACGTCGTTGAAGAGGAAGAGGTGACGGAGCTTTCGGTGGCCGTCCGCAAGCTCCACGATGAACGAGTTCTTGACTAAGCGTCTTTGAGCGCGGTCGTGACTAGGGAACATCGATTTTGTCTGGATGATATTGAACTCGTCCAAGAAGTTTCGAGTCATCGCGAGGGCTTCGCTCAAGGGCGCGTGATCCGAGTGACTCGCGGGCGTATGTTTCAGGAGGTCGTGAAGGACCAGTGCGTTTTTTTGGACCCGCGCGACCGGTTTGTGGAGGAGATCCTCGAGCGACAGCCCCGGACCCTTCGGAAAACTCTTGAGCCGGATGTCTCGAGTGATCTCACCGAATTGTGAGCTGTTGGTGGAGCACCTGCGCACCGTGTCCGTTGCCCGCGCGTAATTATGCAAAAATGCACCGTACAAGTTTATGTTAGAGGCCATGACCTTGAACTGCTCTCCGATCGAGGTTTTTGGGTCCCATTTCTCGAGTTTCGAGCGGAGCTCGTCCAGAAAGTTCTGGTGGAGCGCGTGAAGCTCCGGAATCTTGTAGAACATTGTTTGGAATTCCTCCTCGGAGATGACGGGTTGTGAGGTCGTCAAGGTCGCCCGGATGGCCTTCATGTATTGGAGCATTACGTTCAGGCACTCGACGTAAATCGTTTCGGAGTCGACGACGGAGTTGACGATGCATTTGACCATTGACTGGCGGTCGGTGTCGCGATTGTCCGCGTCTTTCGGGGGTTTTCGCGGGGTCGTCGGGGTGGGCGACTCGAGGGAGCCCTCGGAGAGGCTCAAGGGCTCCGCGTCGGAACTACCGGTCTCGTTGTCCGTGGAAAGCGCGCGGAGGAGAATCGTCGGGGCAGAGTTCGAGGCCTCCTCGTCCTCGGAGTCTATTTGAGCGCGATGTTGAATAAAGTAGTCGATGTTCACGTAGTTGGAACGGTTACCCGGGGAGTCGGGGAGGGAGGGAGGACGACGCGGGGGCTTCTCGGGGTTCAACGGGGGAATTCGCGCGTCTATGTAAACGTACTCGCCGGTTTGGTCGAGGGCTACTGAGTCGTAGTATGGCTCCTCCTCGGAGGCCTCACCGTCACCGTCTTCAGCTTCCTCGGTGGACTTTGCGGGGAGAAGAAAAATCAGGGTCAGTTTGGGGTGGATTTTATTTTAGT